ATGGTAAGAAATTATCTAAAGGAATAATTATTTTCATTTCTACCTCAAATGATGTATTTCTAATAAGATCATCAAGTTTAACAAAACATCCGCATACATTATTTTGATGTTTCCAAGCAGATTCCCAAGTTGAATAAACACTTGGTCTTGATAATTTTTCTTGTTGAGTTCTACAATTTGCAGCAATAGTTGTTTCATAAATCATCTTAGTGTTTTCATAATAAGTAGAACCATTTTTCCAATTAATTTTAAGACTATCTAACCATTGTGTTGAATCTTTTAATCCAACAAATACTTGACATGCATTTGATTCTTTTTCAATACTATTGGTTGGAGTCTTTGTAGTTTCTGGAATTAATTTAAGTAATAACTTTATTGTTGCAGATAAATATGATTTATCAATGTTAGTTACATGAAAAGATGGATCTGTAATTTGAATCTTAGAATGAGCTGAAGATTTAAATGGAACTTGTTGTTGATAAGCATTTACAGTTATCATTCTTGCATCATGTACACCATCATTTGCAGTAATTATTTTTTGTTGTTCATCAAAATATTTTAGGATATCACCTCTATTAGCATCTTCTAAAACTGAAGGAATTCTTATGTTAGACATTTATTAAGAGTAAAAATATGAATTTTATAAATATGAAATGCGACATCCTGGATTTTATAAAACACTAAAAAATTTTGCAAATAATATGTTAAATAAAGGTGGACATGTATTAAAGACATATGGAAACATTATGTCAAAAGTTGTTAATGTTGCTAAGCCTATAATAAATTCTGTACCTGTTGTTGGGCCTATGATTGGTAATATTGCTGATAAAAAATTTCAAACATATTCTAAATTTGGTGAAAGAATGATTGATGTTAGTAAAGGTTCAGATCCTCTTAAATCATTACGTAACTTTGGTCATAATGATATCAAAAATATATGGATCAAGTAAAATTTTAGTTATAAATATATTTTCAATATTGATAATTAATTTTTATTATATCTTAAATGGTAAAAAGCCCTTTATTCTGGCAAAAATTAAAGAAAGTTAAGGATTTCATTCCTAAAATAGGAAAAGCAGCTGTATGGTTTAATGATAATGTTATAAAACCTATAAAACCATATGCTAAAAATTTAATAGAAGCATATGACACGTCTGGTATAGGAAATAAGATGTTAGATTATAGTAGCGACTTAATAGATCAATACAAAACTAATAAAAAAGTTAATGTACCAGATACAACTTCTTATTCTAATAAATTTGTTGATCAATTAATGAATACTCAACGTAGTGATAAAGATAAAAAGAGTTTTAAATGGTTTTAAGATTAGATAATTTATATTTTTATCATAAAAAATGAGTGTTTATAAATTACAATCAGATGATGCAAAATTATTTGATAATGAATCAGAATTTCTTAAATATTATGATAAAAACAAAAAAGAAATCGATGAAATTAAAACTAAATCATTGAATTTGAGATATAAAATTAATGGTTATAAAATAGGAAGAAGAGATGGAAAAATAATATTATATCCAAATAAGATAGAAAATACTAAAAATAATATAGAAGAAAGATTAACTACTCTTGAAAATATATTTAGAGATTTTATTAAATCTAATCCACAATTATTTCATTCGTAATAGAATCAAATATAATTTTTTCATATTTTTCGAGTTTATTATAAACTGATTGAAACTCTTCAAATGAGATATCTGTAGTAATTTGATTATAAATATGATGAAGAATTTGTGGGAGAAAATGAATTAAATATCCATAC